TTGTAAGAAAAAAATGCTGCACATTTTTCCCTTTTTTTTGTGGCCAAAAATGCAAAAAAAAAAAAGATAAATGTAAACCAAATAACAAAGTAGGACTTCAGATGAGAGTAAAATCCTCAATCCACTGTAAAATATCTGTTCTGTGCTCAGCAGAAGACCAATAACAGATTTCATGGATTTCTGCCTCTGGCTTGAGCTTGTTAAAAATGTACTTTACAAAAAAAACATGCTCAAGCTGCTTTTGCTTGAATCGTTTGTAGAGAGAGAAGCCACTTAAAAGATGGAAGAGTCCGTTAAAAGGCTGCCGACAGTCACTGTAACATGAAACAACCTGGACTTGATATTATTTCTGATTGTCAGGGTCACCCAGTGAACCCAAGAGACTACTGTGGCTGGACTCCCCTTCATGAGGCCTGCAACCACGGTCACCATGGTAACTGATTCAATATTTACCACGTTTTTGAAGATGTAAACGTTAAAGAGAAAAGAAAAAGAAAATAACTCTGTTGCTAATCCTGTCTGTTTTTTTTTTCCTCTCCTCCAGACATTGTGGCAGTGCTGCTGGAGCGAGGTGCCAACATCAACGACCCTGGTGGTCCCTTATGTGAGGGAGTGACTCCTCTCCATGATGCGCTCGCTTGTGGCAATTTACAAGTGGCAAGGCTCTTGGTTGAACGAGGGGCTTCTGTCACCCAACGCAACTCCAAGGTGTGTGAGGCCTCTGAGGGAAGTGGAGGAGCTGATTCAGTCATGGAACGTGTTGCTGCAGTAAAACTGTGTGAAACTCAGCAACTGTGGCATTATAATCCACATATATTTATCTGTTATTTCATTATTATCACTTCTGCTTCATTGTATGGAATACCTGAAGTTAAGGAGAGATCTGTTAGATAAATATAATCATTTTCTCTAGAGATGACATACTGGCAGTCAGTCAGGACACATTGTTTAAAAAAAAAACATTAATCTGACACTTTTATTCTTATAATTGGCGCATATCTAAAAGCGTTTTCCCATCTTGCCTCCCCTAGAAGAACTATTAATATCTGATTGTGGTTTATATTTCAAATATGTCATGCTTTCACCTTCCTCTGTCAGGGTGACTCGGCCATGGACACTCTGCGGTATTGGCAGAAGACATACAGTAGAGAGTTGGACCAGGACACCAGGCAGGAGTGCATCGCCACAGAGAGGCTGCTGAGGAAGGCGCTCGCAGGGGGAGGTTGAGGCCTTTTCATCTTCATGCTGTTTAGCCTTCGTTTTGCCTTTTTTTTTAGAAAAATATCGCTTCACACATTTTAATCTCCGTCTCACACAGTGCCTGCTGCTGTGGCTCCGGCCAAGCCTTTCGATGCCCTGCAGGACAGCCAACTGTTTGATGCTGAGAACTCAGAGCCACTGTTGTCCTCTGGAGGGGGCTGTCCCCTCAGCCAAGACTGGCCCCAGACCAACAGGAAATCAGAGGTTAAGGAGGGACCTGCCAGCCCAAAACGATGGCAGATCAAACGCCCAACACAGCGGCTCAGAGCCAGAGGAACAGAGGCCGCTGTCCTGTATGGGGTAAAATCTGGAAAAATGCCTTTTGATATGAAGTTAACATGCCTTTTACTACATGATGTCAAACTTTGGATTCTTTGATATCATGCTATTTGTTCATTCTTTATATTTAAAATCACATTTTAGAATAAAAGCAGTTCATCAGACGACTCTGACTCTGAATACCGGGTCAGTCCTCTCCGTCCTGTCCGCCCTCGGCAAAGTTTCCCAGCAGCCTCGAGTCAAAAGGAAGTTCCCCCAAACAAGGAAGCCGACTCTGTCCCAACCTCGGGTCGGGAAAGTGTCAGGGAGGCTCCTCCACCGTGTGTCTTTGAACGAGACGAGTACCACAATGCAATTCGAGGGCTAGGCAGCGCCAAATCCCGTCTCCAGGGTCTAACTCAGCCTCAGTTCTCCAGCACACCAGCTGTGTCATCCAGCAACAAAGCAGCGCTGGTCCCTGAAGAGGAGTATCTGGCCGACGACTGGCTAGAGGATGATTTGGAGGAATTCCATCCGAAGAAGAAGAGGAGGCTTCGTGTGGAGCAGAATGGGATGAGAGGGGAGGATGTGGCCTTGTCTTCAGTAGGAAGAAGCCAAAACAGGCACTTTAACTCCGACACAGCCTCCAGAGGTAAGAATGCATTTTTTTTATTCTTTTGTCAACCTTTCTTTGCTTCTTTTTTTTATTTTATTTTTATCTTCACTGTATGCCTTTTCTTTTTCCACAGTTCCTGCAGTTCCTCTCTCCTCCAGCAGGAGTCTCTCTATGAAAAAGAACCCCTCCTTGAAGCCTCACCAGGTGAAAATGACTCAGATGCCGGGGATGGTCCGGTTGGGCAGACGAGAGGTCAACAGGTCACACAGCCCTACGATTACTGATGATGAGGACATGAGAGCTGAGACACCTCCACCACCACAAATACACATCCAGGTGAGGAAGAATCTGTGTCCTATCCATTATTCTGAGGAGGGACAAGTGAAGGCATCTAGAAAAATACTCATCAAAGGGTTATCAGCCTTGGACTAAAGTTAATTTCTCATAAAATGACTTACTGAAGTCCGTATGTAATCAGTGCATGCAATACCACTTTCATCGTGAGAAAGACAACCTTGAGAATCGACGCCAGCTGACATAGTCCAAGTGAACTTTTCAGGGTGTTCTGCTTGTCACACTGTTATCTTATTTAGCCAAAACTTCTCCCCTCCTCTACCTCTCCTCCTTCTGTTCCTACAAGGGGCTTCACTAAACCTTTTTCTCCTATGCAGTAGAACTCCTTAAGACCTTTGAAAGGGTTTCGATTGTCCTGATCTTGCAACATTTGTGCATTTCACATTTTGAAGGAGCACATATTTTAAGTCTCCCTGCATCTTTTGAAACATTTTTGACAAACAATTTCAGCCTCCAGCACACACTCGCATGGTTGCACCGATGCCCACATCAATGCCGCCACCGATCAGAATGAGGGTCAGAGTTCAGGAAGATGTTTTCCTCATCCCAGTTCCTCAAAGGTTGGTGTTGTATTCATTCATTTCATATTTCTTTTGAGCATGAATAGAAGAAAGAAAATACGAGGATCGAAAACAAGAATCACTGACACAGAAAACGTACATCTAACTCACAGTGAATAACTAATAAATAGTTCTTGCCCAAAACAACTTGGGGAGGAGAATACTTATCAAATCGCCATTTTTTTTTTAATGGAAAAGAAAGAGTTTATGTTAAAGATGAATATTCAAGGTTTCAGATGCAGGGAAAACTTTCCTAATAAAGCAGTACATCATCATTTTACACAAGATGTGTACTGTCTCTAACAAATACTACAGACTGTAGTACTGATGTTTTTACATGTTTTAATCCTCACACTGTGTTCTAGTGAGGCAGACTCCTGCACCGTGTCCTGGCTGTGTGAGCAGGCTGCTCAGCGTTACTATCAGAAGTGTGGACTCCTGCCCCGCCTCTCTCTGCAGAAAGAAGGGGCTCTGCTCTCCCCCCAGGACCTGCTGCTGGCTGTCCTACACACCAACGAAGAGGTGAGGACGAATGGCTTCCATACTGTTGCAACGTTACTTGATGTAGTCAGAACCGGATCATAATGGTGTATTTTAAATGTAGGTTCTGGCTGATGTTTGCTCCTGGAATCTTCCTCCTCTCCCTGAGCGCTACAAGAAGGCCTGTCAAAGCCTGGCAGTGGGTGAGCGTCACGCACAAATACACACAAAAACACACATCCACATTTCTAAAATGATGCATGAGTTATGACCTTCTTGATTGTCGATTTCTGTTTCGTCTCCGCGCAGATGAGAACAAGCGCGTCACCCGGCTGTGCGAGGTGCAGGACGGGTCCTCCTCGCTGACGGTGTGCGGCCTCAGCTTGGCCCCGTCTTCCCTCAGCCCGCTCCTCCGTGCGCTCAAACTGCAGGCCAGCCTCACCGAGCTGCGCATTTCCGGCAACCGTTTACATGACAGCCTTCTCCCCGAGCTGGTCGCCACAACGATCACCATGCCACGCCTTCGGCTGCTGGACATTTCTGCCAGTCACATTACGGGGGAGGGGCTGGAGAAGGCGGTGAACGCTTTGAATGGACACAGCCATCCTGCATTCCCGGTAAAAAGCTCAGCTGGAGGAGCTTGCTCACGTTTTAATTTGTGTTTTTTTTTTTTGTAATTTTGCTTCTCAAACCTCTGTAACCGTCAAACTACAATGCAGGAAAAAATCATTTGTGTGTGAAGAAACTTTTTTTCTTGGGTCACTGTCCTACTTGACGTTGTTGGAGATGTTATCTGTGGATACACGTTGACGTTTGTTCTACAAACACATTTCAGCGTTTATTTGTTGCACTGTGTTTTTACTGTGTATTTTTAGGAATAGATAACTTAACATCTTGAAGGACAAAGCTCAAACCACCAATGTGACAAAGATTAGCGGTGGTTTAGAAAATGTTCTTGTTAAAATGTCAGCTGATGGCCTTTGTCGGTGGGCCACATTGCACTTAGAATATCTTAGACTGTGTGCTGCAGTCTGTTAAAGTCGTCATGACACCTTTGTTAGTGTGACTCGCCTCTGATACCACAACTCCTCCTGTTTTTTCCTGTTAAAGTGTCACAAACCAAAGTGTGGAAGAAAAAAAAAAAAAACTCATCATGTCAACCACCGGCTCTGTCACCTCTTTCTCACCAATCCTGAGAACGACGGTCACATGCCGGTATTTAAAGATCAATTAGAAGAGTTGTCATTTGTTCAAATTCGCTGTCTGTGGTTATCTCCTGTCCTGCAGTGTCTGGAGGAGCTGAACCTCAGTATGAACCCGCTGGGTGATGGTGTCTCTGAGTCCCTGTCCTGTCTGCTGTCCTGCTGTCCTCTGTTAGCCAAACTATCCCTGCAGGCCTGTGGCTTCACTGCTCGCTTCCTGCAGCAGCATCGACTGCTGCTAGCAAGTGCTCTAACAGGTAACTCCGACCAGCAGAGGCAGCGTTGAGCTTCATCTAAAGCCACATGTTCAGATAAGGGATGAGTGCATTTGAGGGATTAAGTTGTGTTTGCTGTTAGAATCATTGAAAAGGATATGTGGAGATACCCACAGTCCAACAAAGAATCTATTTCAGCTTCTTTCTTTTTTTAAGATGTTTAAAATTAGAGAAATCATAAATGGCATCCTCATTTCTTTTAGGGACAGGCCACCTGAAATCACTGTGTCTATCCCACAATGCACTTGGCTCCACTGGCTTTGAGCAGGTTTTGAAGACTCTGCCTCTCCACTGTCTTACACACCTGGACCTGTCTGCTGTCCGCAGGGGTCCTGCTGACGCCCCTTCACTGGAACACCTCACAAATATCCTCTCTCAAGTAAAAACACGCAAATCATATTTACACACAAACAATGACAAGCGAGCATGTCAGTGTTCTTTACCAGCAGTACAGTACAAAGAAAACGTTTGTCTTTTCTTGCAGGATGAGTGTTCACTGACCCACCTGAATCTGGCAGCAAACGGGTTGACAGACAGCAGTGTAGCCACCTTGGCCAGGTGTGTGTGTGTGTTTGTACTACGTCTGCACTTTGCTGCGTAGACATGTATGGGTATAGTTTCAGTCTAATGATATCTTTTTAAGAGTTAGTGATGACATTATGTTATTTTGGGTATTTCTTTTAGACATTTCTGTGATTTCATCTTTAATTGTGAAGTGTCACCACTGTTTGGTTCTCCCCTCCAGGTGTCTTCCTTCATGTCGGTCACTGGTGAGTCTGAATCTGTCAGCGAACCCGTCTGTAACATCAGCAGGACTATACAACATCCTGAACGCTCTCAGAGAGGCTGGTCGCCCTCTGACCCTTCTAGACATGCAAGGTATGTGCCTCTATAGATTTGTGTAGTTGGGTTTTGTGCGGAGGAGGTGCAGAGTCTTTAATCTTAGTTTTAAGCAAATGGAACCTTGAAGCCTTTTTTTTTTTCATTGCAAACATAGAAGATGAAGAAAGTGTCTGTATGTCCTTCAAATGAACAGAAGGAGGGGAAAAGCAAAACGATGCTGTTTATTGTTCAGGTTGGACTAGTTCTGAAATCTGATTTATGAGATAAAGGTGCATGATTTGGCCAAATCCCTTCAGGTTCCTGTATTCACACACTCTTTGACTATCATTTTATGTTTAAGGTATCTTTTTTACAGAGTTTAATTTCTGAGGAGACAGAGAAGGAATTAAGCCGAATGAAATGACAGAAATCACAACTTAAAGTTTGCTCTAAATTACAAATCTGCACATGAAACACTGAACTGGAGCTTGTTGCTTCTCCCTCAGGCTGTCAAGTGTCCGGCCCCTGGGACAGTGAGGGTCTGGATGGGTTGTCAGAGCTGGTCCAGGATCTGCGTCTCTGCTCTCAGGGACTCAATAAACTGGACCGTCAGGCCTTAAAGCAGAGCTGGGACGTCAGTCGCTCTCATCACGGACTCTTGGTTGATCGAAACGGGAAGTTCCTGCTCTCTGCTGCGGCCTCCTCGTGAAGACAGGAAAATAAAAACGAGCTCCAGATAACAGCAGGACTCCCATATCTGACACTGAATTATGAGCCATGTGAAATCAGAAGATAATAGTTTTATAAATGAGAACATACACTTTTTATTAAAGGGATATTATTCGCTTTAGGATTTGTTCAGTTGGCAGTGAACGCTTGAGGCTGCACGCTGACTCGTCAAAAAGTAGCACACACACTTGTAGAAATCTTCTATGTTTCTTGTGTTTGTATACCTTATTTATATATACCTGTGTATGTACAGTATGTTAGCTGTGTGTTTGTGTCAGGATGCCATGTGTTGTCCTCAACCAGCTGAACTTTTGTATGATTTGATTTAGAAAACTATTAAAGTGACTTAACATTTCTTTAGTCCTTCAGTGGCCCCTTCTTCATCCACTTATGTTCAACAAAACAATCAGAATTCTACCTCTCAAGCACAACATTCAACCTTTTGCACTTGAGCACACGCATTTGTCAGCGTCTAAAAGGGACATGTTGATGCCATTGTTGCGCAATCCAACAAGCTGTGAAAGAAAACTCCCACTTTCAGGAAGCCTGTGGACAGCACCAAGCAACACCCGACCTCTTGACTCATAAGTGCTCAATGTTTGGAGGCTTTCACTTGTCATTGTTGTCTGTAACAGTTGAGTTGATGTGGAGAAATGAAAATTTTTCAGAGAAGTTCGATTACAAAAAAGCACCTGTTTTTCAGGTGGTATTAGCTCCACTGCAGTCACTGGTATTGTCAGCCGTGAATTCTTACTGATAATGTTGAACCTGAAAGACTGTCCCCGTTTGAGTATAAAATCATGTTGACTGGATTTTTGGCTTTTATGTAACTTGACAGACAGACTTAATGGAGGTTTTTTGTTTGATTCATTTTTTTGATTCGTAAAAAAGTTTAGAAGTCCAGGTTGTAGTCTCTTAGTAGCCTCGATCTACAGAGGTGCATTTAATCATTGAATTAAAGACTGGAGTCATAGGACGCCGAAAGCCCGCGGTTAGGACATGCGGCCCATGTATGGAGGCTTTAGTCATCATTGCTGAATGTCACACCCCACTCTCTCCTTGTGTATATATATTATTTTCAGACACTCTGTTAAACTGACCCACAAGGAATCTTCATGGAAATGCAAACATTTATTGAAATGAACACAATAGTTAATGCAGAGAAAATGAAATAAGACAAAGTGTAACACAGTGAAGGCACTGACAGAAAGTTTCAGCTGGTTCCTGCCACAAACATTTGTGGTTTCTCTTAAAGCTAATGAGCAGTTTATTTATTCAGCATGCAAACAGCATCAGGGATATTCATCGACTTCGGATGATGAGTCCTCCATTTCATTGAAGTGCGGGCTGCACAGCTCCTCGGGTCTAAAGAGAACACGAGATACACGTTAATAAATAATGAAATCATATGAAGAATGTCCCCTGTCAGCAGTATTTAAAAATATACCAATTTATTTTTCATAGTCATGTATTACTTTAAAATAATTTTGACTACTTCCTACAGTGATGTCATCTTTGTGTGTTGTGTTTTTTCATTTTATGTCATACACAGATTTTTTGGACGTTTCATCTTTTCTGGAAAGGGACTAAATCTGTCAGGTATTTTAACAAGCACATTTTTCCTCTGAATTTTGGTAAAACATATACAGTATAACAAATAATATAACTTAAGGAGTAACATTTTTATTTTCCAGGGCTGTGAAGTTTTCTTGAAAGAAAAGGACGCTTTATTCCTGAACAGTTGCTTCATTGTGAATTATTAATATGGATGGACATATTTTAGGTGCTGTAAAAACGCTGTTATGTAACAGACCGGCTGTTAGAACTCACTTGCAGGCTCTAACGTTGACACAGATGGTATTCACACCATCAGTGGTGGAGAGCTCCTCGATCAGCACGCCCAGGTGTTTCTTCACAAAATGGCGACACAGAGGTTTTAAGAAGCCAATTTCCTCGCAGCAGGACAGTAACTTAGTTTTCATTCTCTGTGGAGGTAAAAATGACTTTATTAGCTGTTCCATAATGCAAAAATGAAAGCCTGCTGAGTGGGCTGTCAGTCTGTGACACATTTTTTTTACCTCTGCAGTGGCGTTGTGACCCAGAGCTTTCTTCACCTTGTTTAAGGTCCACTTGCACGCCCAGCAAATACCGGGACGCTGCAGATCAAAGTGATACATTCAACACTGAGCACAGGTACAAGTACTGAAAATGATACTGTACATGATGGACAACTTATACATGCTTATTAACATGCTATCATTTAGTTGTGAGCATGTATTCAGACAGGGAAATGTGTTCATGTTGGTCACTATGACAACTGATGAGAAATATCTAAACATTGTTCAACACCTCATAAATAAAAAGCATCTTAACAGCATAAAATACGACTTTGTAATCAGACAAAAAGTTCTTCATTTAAACCCCTGAAAAATGCTTCAATATCTTTTATGTTGAGCGTAACTGTATTGCTTTAAATGCCCCATACAGGATCAAATAAAGTGTTATTATTATTTTAATATAATCCAAACCTCAAATTATTTTTTTAAAATAATCCAATTAAGTCTCATCTTATCTTGTCAGTGACCAAATATATATATATTTTTTTTGTTTGTTATTTAACCTTATCTTCATCATTTTAACGTCCGCAGTGTGGGCGTGGGCGTGCACTAATAGCTCATCTATCTGCTGCCCCCTAATTGAGTTCTTTTCATTTGAACTCTTTATATAGATTTGCTTCTATATTTAACTTTAGCTGTATTGTGAACGCAGAACGTACACTCTTACTCACCAAGATGTCCACATCCACATCCACATCCACCTGCTGATGCTCCTGATCATCAATGTTGACCTCTAAACTTGCACCGTGAACCGTCCACACTAGAGATCAGAAAGAAAAAAGTTAAAGCTTACAAAAGGACACAATAAGGACATTTTTTAAACAACAGAAAACACCAGAACACACCTGAACATGTCCCCAGAATGCACATGAGAAGAAGGACTGAAGATGCTTCCATTGTTGCAGTGCTCTCGGAGTGTGTTTGCATGTGCTGATAACGCACTTTTTATACACAGCAGAGGTTGAGGGGGCTTCAAGCTAACACTCTGTCATAGCCTCCTTAATCGGAAACGCAAACCACAAGCCTCTTCTGATAACAGATCTGAAACTGTCAGGTGGTTTTGTTGGGCTCACACAAAAACTACTTCAACTTAACCTGTCATGTTTTCCCATCACAATAGCGCGCTGCACAGTCACAAATGAATCTTACCTATCTTATTGTCGGCGACAATTCTGAAAAAAACAATACATTTGAATCCCTTCGTCATCTGGGCTAGCTGAATATCTTTATAAATGTTGAATTCTTTGAGATAATAATGAATGACATCAAACTTGAAACATTTGAATCTTTTATGTGGCCTAAAAATGGAAACTCATTCAAAGGTGATACAATAGGTTTATGCCTACCATGTGGTAAGGAAATGTAAAGATCAATAACCCTGTCATGTTGATAATGTTAATCTGAAGCAACATGATAGTAACCTAGCTTAGCATACTAAGGTTAGCCTTGCTGGATCCAAATGTAAGTAATTCAACTACCAGCACTCCTGAAGCAAACAAATGAACATGATGCACATGCAGTGGTGTAGTGCAGGGTATACGCGTATACTGCGTATACCCACTTATTTTTCAGCCTCCATATAGGTTATACCCACTTCTACATGTTCTCTGACTCTAACATTGATTGATTGGCAATTTTTGTGAAGGGATGACACTCCTTACTCTGTCTCTAATTGGCTAGTATGCACTAATGAAAATATGCAAGAGTGGTTTACATGTAAATGTTCATAACAAAGACCATGTATTCTCTGCTAGGCGGGTCACTTAAATAAATAAACATTTGGTGGAAAAATTAAGAGTAGACCCTCTTTTTAAAGCACCACTATACCACTGTGCACATGGTGTTTTTAAGATAAACGTATTACACAGTGTGCAGCATGCACCATGTTCAGTCCAAATTTGTTGTCTGAAAGCGAGGAAAGGCAAAAAACATTGTGTACATTTGTACATGTAGGTTCTTTTTAAAGTGGGACTTTTTTAGGTGGCTAAAACACATGTTGCTACAAGCCCCGCCCACAGTGATAGGTTGAACCACACATTCTTTGGTGTGTAGATTTTGGCCTTCTTTGGACAAAGTAGAAGTCGACATCTTGTCTCTCATCCTATACAAAATGCTATCACTTAACCAAAAAATGTATTACTCATAGAGAATGTTTGCTCTGGAAAATGCCATCTGGCATTTCTTTCAGGCATAAGAAGAAACAACTATAGAAATACATCTTGTTTGTATGTCAAATAGAGGCATCATTATTTTTTTATTAATAAGCAACAAATACATATTCGCAGGTGCTTTAGCTTTAATCAAGCTTTAAACAAATGAAATCAGTTGCAGTTCAAGAATTCACTTAAGTTATAAAGTCCAATGGCACCACATGTAGATATTCAACCATTTACAGAAAACAAAAACAAGACAACAAGTACACTGGAAAAGCTTCCACACTTCTGGTAAGCTTCAGTGTGAGCTCATAGACAGGTGTGGGCTTTTCATTTACACATTCTAAATTTATCACATATAGGTGCGGCAGACCCACTGTTAGGTGGGCACCTTAAAGACAAATATGTGTCAGAAAACACTTGACTTACGTTTGACATCTGATACAGAATAAGAAGCTGCTTTCTTACTTGAGGAGAGCAGGAGAAGAGTGATGCTGATGATAGTGGTCATGGTGACTATTTTTTAGTTTTGCTCTCCCTTTGTTGCTTTTTATACTGTTTTATAACTTGTGTTTTTTTCCTCTCTAACACATGTCTCAGCACCTAAATTGCTTAAGTGTGTTGGCCCTTACAAAAGCCAAACACTGCATTTTTTTTTCCCTCTAAATTTTTATTAGACGTCAAATCAGATTTTTCAAAAAATAAAATGC